ATTGTTTTGAAAAAATTATTAAAGACCAGAAATTTAACAAATGTTCTGAATGTTACTGGAAGAATGTTTGTTCCCAACTTTAAGAGAACCTTGCCAGAATGTTAGCTGAGCATGTTCCCTGTTAGCTGGGTATTATCCATCTTTGGTTACTTTCTGTATTACATCAATACTACCATCAATAAAATATTAGCTGAGTGACTGCAATGAAGTGCAGTGTCTATGTGACCTGCCTGCACCAATGTTCTTTACCAGATGAGTAAATGGTCATCATGGAGGGGAAAAGCATGGGGCGTTAAATACAGGCGTGGATAATAACCCCAGTGCCAAGTAGACTCCTACTGTGTGTGACTATAAATGCTTCATACTTTATTCAGACCCATATACATACATATACACAGCATGTAGTCAACAACAAGTGGCAAGCACACAGTGGTTTGATGCATGCTCATTTGCAGTGCAATCATGTAGACCACAATCAGCAAGACTTCACATGCAGAAACATACAGAATGGCTTTCAAAATTATAAGGGGCTTAATTAATTACCTGCAATTAAAAATAATCAGCTTGTAAGACATATAAAGGAATAAGAGAGTGGTTTATATGTAGATATGAATTTCATAAATATGCAGTGGTCTTAAACTAAAGTCAGGAGATATGAAATGCATCTTATGTCTACTTCAATTTACACAGCTGGTCGGCATCTGTCGGCCTTCAGTATTCTTCAGAGCACTTGCCGTACATTCGCAGCAGATAGACGCAAGTGCAGTTATGTACTGAAGCTTTGGAAACAAAACCAATGGTTCAAAAACAAAAATATAAAAAGGGAGGCGAGCAACGCTACGCATTTTTCCACCTTCTCCTGCGCTGTCGTTACCAAGCAACGGGGTAAACAGCTGCTGCTTCAATGACGCAAACACACCGCGGTTTGGACTCAAATAATAATGACTTCACACAGTCCAGTGGGGGCAGGGTTAGCAATTGAACTCGGGTTTCGAGTACCAGGCAATCGAACCAAGTGTGAAAGCACCGTAAGGGTTAGTTCACCCAAAAATGAAAATGTTACCATCATTTACTCAACCTCATGTCATTCCAAACTCATAAGACTTTTGTTAATCTTCAAAACACAAATTAAGATATCTTTAATGAAACCTGAGAGGTTTCTGTCCCTCCATTGAAAGTGCAGGTAACCAAAACATAAAAGTAAAAAAAAAAAAAAAAAAATTTGTATAAAAGGTGCCATAAAACATATCCATATGAATTAAGATCTGGATGTCACAATTTCTCGATTAAATTCGAGTGCTGGATTTAAAAAAATCCTTGATTGCAATTTAGCCGCGTCAATACCGGTGTTGTGCTGAATTTCGATTCCCTGCCAAATTATTCCCCCCCTCGTTGAAGTCAGTACCTGATTGCCTAATCCTAACCCCACCCCTCCCCCACAACTAATCCTAAACCTACCAATACTAGGTGGGTAATAATTTGAAGGGGGTCAGAATTCGGCACAACACTGGCAAAATACCCGAAGTGGTGCATTCCACGGATGAGAATTCGAGCAGTTTAATCCAAGTCTGGTGAACAGATACGATCGCTTTATATGAACAGATTTAGGGTGTGCTCAGGTTTGGTTTGATTAAATTGAACTCTGGTGCGATTGCTCTGTTAGTGCGGTTCATTTGAATGAGTGTGAACGCTGCCATCTGAACCCTGGTGTGCACCAAGTGGGCCGAGAGCCCTGAAAAGGTGGGTCTCGGTCTGCTTCCAAACAAACTCTAGTGCGGTTTCGACTGAAATATGAACGCAACACGGACCAAAGACATCTAAACGAAACAAAAATAGAATGTGATGTCACAAGATATGACTCCAAAAAGGAAAGAATTCTCAAGCATACTTGTTTTTTCTCGTCATTTGAGATACGTTGCCCATCACAGTTCGGTACAGGGCAGGCATCAAAAAACACTTTCTCCTTGCAGCAGATCTTCGTTTGTGTGTAACAGAGGAATTCCTGGTGATGCTTTGACTTCTTTACACATTTCAAGCTCTTCATACCATCATATGTACACAACAAGCGCATTTAGCCCAGCACACAGAATTGTTTTTGATGTTTGGTAAGTTCCGTAGCAAAATACACATCATTAAAGCGGTTCTTGTTTTGTTTGTGTGAAAGAGACAACCAGGATAATGTTAAGTAAGAAAACCTAAGAGAACCAGGATAATGTTAATTAAGATAATTATTTTTCTTTTGTCCGGACCAATAGGATCTAACTACAAGTGAAACAACATTTTTTTATTTACATAATGATCAACACACATACATACATATGGTAAACACAGAAACTTCCAAATGCATTGTGCACACATGACAACCAATGATGTTTTCATGAGACATGCACAAGCTTCCATGTTTACCATATGTGATGCGCTTTGTGTGTTTATATATGAATAAAAGCCTAAATTAAATCTGTTCATCATATTAAGCTAACATATCTCTTCATAAGACTAAGGATTTATTCCGCTTAATTCAAATGGATTAATTTTACGGCACCTTTATGACCTTTTTGGATCTTTTAAATTTTGGTTCCCTGGATTTTTAATGGAGATACATATATAACCCTATAAAGAGATACTGTATCACGTTGCCATGCTTCATGCCTGAGCATCTTCCTTTAGATCATTTTAGTCTTTAATTAAGCGCTGTATGGAAGACAAGGATTCAAGACATGATTTTAGTCCATGGAAAAACAAGTCTAGCAGCTTAACAAGAAATTCTAGAGTCTAGAATGTATGAAAACCTTCAGGTTAGGTTTAAAAAAAAATGCAAATTACAAAATTAAAGTCCCAAAACAATAAAAATGAAAACTACTTTCAAAGAAAAGTGCATTAACCACACAGAGTCTTTAATACTGGCCAAGTAACAGAATTGCTAACTGCTGTTCAAAAATGAAAATATTTCACATGTAGAGTATTTTAATTGACATTAAAGCTATTGTTAATAAAAACTTTACGTTAGTTTTGTACTTTTCAGCATAAAAAAAACAACAACATATAACTTTTTGCATAATAAATAGTCCGACTTTGTTTTAAAAGTGCTTTTCCACCATTGGTGCCGAATTATTTTGAGCATGATTAGGTAGAGATTTCACAGCACGGTCAGATAACCATACTTTAGTTATGTGGAGACTCAAAAATTCACAATATACATTCAAATGTTAATTTTGCAGCACCACAATAAAAAAAATAAAAAAAACCTAACTGTGTCAAACAGCCCAGATTACAGGGCGGCATGATTCAGCAACAATGGTTGAAAAATCTATTATAATCAACCTAAAATCTCTTTATGCATGTGTATTCCTTTGAATTAAAAGTCATAAGTGCTTGTAAAAAAACTACTTTTATACAACACAACACAACAGTTAGAGGTTTAGAGGTTTCTCATTCCTACAGGGTTTTTCCTGCACACTATGGGAATACATTATTATATATTATATACATCAATATATGACAACTAAATGTAGACCTTCACCTTGCACAATCAATCTCCAATTCTATCACTTAGCCTGACACATTTCCTTTGTTGAATATCAAGAACTTTATTAGTGAAGCATGCTATTTTTAAATTGCTTTTCTTTGTGAGATGTCCCCAGACTGGTGAACCTTTGCACAGTGCCACGTGCAGCGCATGTCTCAACAATCCTCCCCCTCTGAGAGAACACATTCCCATCACCCTAAACAATGTGACACCAACAGGATGACACCAAAAAAGAAAAAGAAAAATATTCCGCCAAATCAGCTGCCTAATCAGAAAACAAAACAATACTTATGGTTTACGAAAATAACCAGGATTTAGTCTGTATTGGTGTGGTTGTAGCCTAGTTTTGTGAAGTGGGCTATTAAGTCATTCCATTCAGCTTTCCCACTACTAGCTTTTAATCAATTAGCAAATAGCCACTCCCGCTGAACAACATTCTTTAAACTCAGAGCTGACTGGACACATATATGGGAGCCCACACCAAACCAGCTGTAAGACAGCAGATTGTATCCATTCTACTTTGAAAATGCCACATCTGCAAGTAACAATCAGCACCGCGTGATTTCATAATGGTGTCTTTAGGCTGATCACAACGTACCTCGTCTTTGCAATCATTATATCATATATTAGACCATAGCTTTGATGGCCTCATTCCAATTTAGCAATTCCACATCCTTTGCTGTTTGGACAGCATCCACATACAACCCTCAGGGTCAAAGACTTGAGTTAATGGAATATCACTCTATAAACATGCTGATCAGAACTCCTTCAGCCTTCCGAAGACCCTCATGAGCTGACGCTGTGGAACTGAACAGGTTTATGTGATCCCGTTCATTAGCTCTGTCACTGATGTAAGCATTGAGTACAACTATGGGCAAATTAATGTATTGACCTGCAAAGAGAATGCAACTTCATGGGTGAGCCAAAAACCTCATGCACCGTAAGATGCCACCAGGGAAATATTTGCAACTACTTTTCATACAAGGCGATCAATCACCCACTAATAGCATTTAGTTCTCCATGAGGTTTATTCTCAATTACATTAATAATGGATTTGAACGGAACGAGTCAATGAACGTCTACACTATTTCTCATGAACTCTTCAGTCATATGAGCTCGAAGAAATCTTTTTTTTTTTCATTGTGCAAGTCAGGTCACCTAAAAATAAAACACTACAAGTGCTTACTTTCCTTGTTCTGTTGCAAGATAGATACCGAGCATTTTATGCCAGATCCACCATGAATATGAGCATGAGTTTTACAGTGAAAACAGGATGATAAATTAGCTCTCCAGCCTACACAATGTGTGTGTGGCCTTAACGTGTCAACCAGTCCAAACTCAAGAACATGCTTGGAGTGTGTCATTGTGCCACGCTGCTCTAAACAAAATACGTGATGCATTTTAAAGAGGACAAGCAATAAATACGCGACCTCAGCTCTTCAAATCACAAGTGCCATTGAAAATAATAGCTTACCTCCAGATTTGTCCGAGCTGTAAGATGTGAATGACGGACTGCAACAGCCAGATACAGAGGGAACAGGATGCTGAGCGTGTCTTACTATTCCGGGCTGCAGTAGCGCTGTTGATGCTGTTGCTTGTGGTGTTGCTCTTGCTCGCCGTGGACGCCTGTCTTTGAGGCGTAGACGGGTGGGCTCCAACGTCTCCGTGCGAAGCGGAGCAGCTGAGCAGCTTCCCGTCCATATGGGAGCAGCTTGCCGCGCCGCCGCCGGAGCTCTCCTCGGTGCTGAAATCATGCACGAACCATCGGAAACTGAAGACCTGCACTGAGAACGAGCCGAGCACCACAAAAAACAGCGTAAGCCCGAACCACCAGTAGTCGCGGCGGAGGTAATAGTCGACAGAAAGCCAAACATCAGTGCCCACATCCGCGAAATACACCGTCACTGCGGCGAGGATCCACAGGCAGTCCCAGACCGTGTATTTCTGCTGCTCCCTGCCGAGGCGGAGACATGTCGAATTTGAGCCACAGCACCGCGACTCGCCGTTAACGAAGTCCGCCTCTCCGGTTCCAGAATCGGGCTGCGATCCCGGAGCGAGCCCTTGAACCGAACCCGAGTGATCCGAATTCTGCAAAGGCGTAAATGCTACATCGCTCTTTTTCATCTTTAGCACCCCGTCGGATTTCGCGGCCATTATAGCAGCTTTGTCTTCCCACCGTTTTCACGTCTTCTCCTAGGCTTCTCTATTCCAGGCGAAGAGACACTGGGCTGGGCGACCTCCTCTTCCGCCAGCTACAGCGCCGCCTGCTCATAACAAAGCAACACTTCCTTTCGGTAGCGGGTACGAACCATATGCTCTCCCATGGCTCCTACTTAAAACTATGACATCATTGCTTTGCAACTCTTCTTCAGGCGCACATCATGGTGTTCACTATCCAGCTATTGCAGCACAGCACAGCACAGCCTTTTGCTAACTCCACATTCGTGCATAAAAAATAATCCCTACGGCAGCGGTACATTAAAGATGTGACTGCATGGTTGCTATGGCATTTGTAAACGTGCAGTTTCGATTCGAATTCCACCCAAAATTGAACACCCTGTCTAGAGCGGAGGCAAGCGGCGCGTTAAAAAGTAAAACGCTCCTATAATAAATACTAGGAAGCGTCCGTTGTGGCGGTTTTCTATTTTTCACGCACTGCACATCTGCAGACACTATTATTCCTAAACCGTCTGAAAGAAAATTATTTTAGTTACAAATTCTGTGAATTGTATTCGTTACATTTTTAAATTACTTTTGACCTTTCAAACCCAGATGGGGACGTTTCAATTTGTTTCAGAAAGTAGGCCTGTGTCGTATTGAGTTGTATCAATGCTAACATAATTATTATTAATAATAACAATAATTATTATTATTTATTTTTTTATAATAATTACATTTTGAATTCAAATGCAATGGATTTACTTTAAAGTTGGAAGACAGTAGCTAAAGTCATCGAGCTTATATTAGACCTGGCTACAACTGATTTATCCGTGTTTTAGTAACGTTCTATTATGACGTGCAGCTTCAACGTTCACAGTAGAAAGACTCAATCCGTTGCGTTTTCGGTAAATAAATATAAGTCGTATTGTCACATTTAAATCTAAACAATAACAATGGGCATTTTTGCCACCAGCTAAGAGAAAATACACCTGTAAAAAAAAAAAAAGATCTTCCAAACGCTTTCTCGTCTCATACAATAACGGTTCAGCACCACGGAAAGCTCCCAGTCTCAGTTCATTATTATGTCTCATTGTGGGCCATGCAGAAGGTCCGCCATAAACAACGAGTCGCGTCTGAGCTCCATATATCACTAAGGACGCTCCAGTGCCATTGGGCGTATTGTACTGGGTGGGCTAACTGGCGTCATTACTGAATTTATTGGCACCCTTGAGTACGGCGCTGTATTGTCGACACGCCCTCTGCTCGCCGGTTACACTTAAGCGAGTGACTGCTTTGAAAAACAGCCACTATGAGTGGCACACACACTGAATGATGCTAAGATATTGTATTGATTCAAGTTTAACGGGGAGAAAATTAGCATATTACGCCAGCATATGCTGCCAGGTAAGGATCACATGAATTAATGAGGCACATCGCCCACAAAAATACGTTAGAAAAGATAAATCAGCCAGGCTCTGACGTAAGCAGTTCTAACACTGATTGCCACGATCTTACTACGCCTCAGGTTTTAATAGGGATTGGGCACTGGAACAGATGGCATCAAACCGTCAACATACGCGGACTGTCGTGAATTGACTTCAATAATAGACTGGCATCAGAGATGCAACAGAGATTATATATATATATATATATATATAATTATATTGTGTATTTAGACTAGGGCTAGTACTTCAGGCCAAGATAGAACATTTTGACAAATTTACAAGCTCTGTGGTTACTGGATTATTTAAATACTGCTGAAACTTTTGAAACCGAGGGAAACATACATTTGAATATTACGAATTTTTACCAGCTTTTAGTTCAGCATAAATACTGTCAGGCCCTTCAATGGCTTAGCCACTCTGCCTGTGTGGTACCTCAGCTTCAGAAATGATGCCCTCATCATCAGACAGGCAGGGGTAAGCAGCCTGTGGTGACTTGTGTGGGCAGTGTTTTAGCAGGTCCATTTCAGGCTCCACTGACACACAGACTGCCATCACATGTTGTCAGTGCTGGGTAATGATTGAGATGTAATCTGAATTAGTAAAATTCCAAAAATAAAGTACTTGTAATTAGATTATTACATTTTAAAATACTATTAATCAGACTACAGTTACTTTTCTATTGATTACATGATTAAATGTTTTTCTCACAATGGCAATATATTGTTCCCAATTCATTGATTCTATTTCTTTGTTAACTTTTAAAATTTCCTTTCTAAAAAAAGTCTACTGCTTATATGTTCAGAAGGTCTTCCAGGTTTGTAAAATTGCACACACAGACCCGCCACTGAAAACTGAGACCCACAAAGCATGATCACTGGATTTACAGAAATCATTCACTAAGCGTTTTCTCAACATTGCATATCTAATCAGCTCATGATGAACAATAATTATTATTTGGACGCAATGAATCATTTAACCATGTATTACTGTCTTTGGAAGGTTTTTTTTTCTTTCAAACACATTAAAATGTACAAATTCACATAATTTGATATTTACACGCAATGCAGGGATTCCCCAACTTGTTTGTCAGCTAAACCTCAGCTCTAATATATTTACTTGAAGTAACCCTAGAGATTTGAAGTTAATAAGTTGGGTCATAAATAAAATTAAATAACAATAATAATAATAATAATAAATAGCATGGTTCAAGGTTCTCTGATGTCGGTTAATGGTCATATGACATGCAGTTAAAAATATATATTTTTAATCTTTTTTTGTAAATAATTTTGATTGTTATTATTTTAAATTTGTATGACTTAATAGCTTTTCATTAAATTCACAAATCCCTGCAGTTCCTTCATGAACCCCAGTCTGGGAAACCCTGACATAATGTAATATTTAATGCACTTCATGTTGTTGAAAACAAATAATTGAATATTTTCTTTCTCTTTGAAAATGTATATCAATATGGTACACGATTATCCTATTCAAGTAAATGTGATTACCGAGTTAGGTCAAAAGTAATCAAAAAGTAGTCAGAATTCATTACCTAAAGTGAGTGATCTACATTACTAACTACAAATTTTGTCATGTAATGAGGAATCGGTAACCGACTACAATTTGTAAGTAATCTATACCCAGCACTGTCAGTTGTGGGTTTGAGCTGGTTCAAGCTTAGGCTGGTCCTGCATATCAGAGGCTGTCTGTGTTAGCTATTAAGAAGCGTTTTCTGCTCAGTGGAGACCGGCCTCCCTGCTACCTCAATACAATTCCAGCGGTCTTCTCTTATTGATCTGAACAGTCTCTTTGTGAGAAGACTGTACACTGTACCAAGCTCCACAGCCCTTCATACTCAAACCAGCCGTTTAAAGATTCAATCTTAAGGACATCAGCAATCAGAAAATCAGACAGCCATCACACAATCCCGAGCATTTTCAAATATTGTTTCAGCCCATAAATTAAATGTGTGTGCATTTAGATTCCCCCCTGGAAAAAAAAAAAAAAATCAACTCCATAGCTGATTCCAAGTGATCAAGGGCTTAGGACGTTCCAATTCAGCCCATTGCAGTTTCCGCCAGTAGTGGGCACTCATGCAACGTAAGCAATGACGTACATCCGAGTGAACGAGACTGAGGGAAGTTAGCGAGTGAAGGGCATGACAATTTTGGACTGGAACGCAGCACCGGACCCTCCCCCCAATACAGGAAAACGGCACATTTTAGTGGCCTTTTATTGTGGCCAGCCTAAGGCACACCTGTGCAATAATCATGCTGTCTAATCAGCATCTTGATATGCCACACCTGTGAGGTGGATGGATTATCTCGGCAAAGGAGAAGTGCTCACTAACACAGATTTAGACAGATTTGAGAACAATATTTGAGATAAATAGGCCTTTTGTGTACATAGAAAAGGTCTTAGATCTTTGAGTTCAGCTCATGAAAAATGGGGGCAAAAACAAAAGTGTTGCGTTTATAATTTTGTTCAGTGTATATATGGAGGTCTCAATAGAGGACTATTTTATTAATGAGGTATGCATTGAAAGTTAGCTGTGTGACATTTCGAGCAATGCTTACACAGGTTGTCATTATTACACAGCACTAGAAAATCATGCCAGAGAAGCTCAGCCTTAGCCAGCAGCCATATCACCCTGTCGCCCAAGACTGGTTGCCCACTGAAGCTAAGCAGGGCTGAGCCTGGTTAGTACCTGGATGGGAGACCTTCTGAGAAAACCAGGTTGCTGCTGGAAGAGGTGTTAGTGAGGCCAGCAGGGGGCGCTCACCCTGTGGTCTGTGTGGGTCCTAACGCCCCAGTATAGTGACGGGGACACTATACTGTCAAAGAGCACCGTCCTTCGGATGAGACGTTAAACCGAGGTCCTGACTCTCTGTGGTCATTAAAAATCCCAGGATGTCTTTCGAAAGAGTAGGGGTGTAACCCCGGCATCCTGGCCAAATTTGCCCAGTGGCCTCTGTCCATCATGGCCTCCTAATCATCCCCATATATATATACACTGATTGGCTTCATCACTCTGTCTCCTCTCCACCAGTAAGCTGGTGTGTGGTGAGCGTTCTGGCGCAATATGGCTGCCGTCGCATCATCCAAGTGGATGCTGCATATTGGTGGTGGTTGAGGAGATTCCCCCTTCCATGTGAAGCGCTTTGAGTGCCTAGAAAAGCGCTATATAAATGTAATGAATTATTATTAATTATAATTAATTATTATGAATGTATTGTGGCACTTGGCTCCATACATCAGCATTATCAGACAGACTTCATCCATCCACACTCGCTCTCCCCTTCAGAACTCTGACAGACATACAAAACCATCACGGCACATATAAACCTCTGGTTCATGATCTTTCCGATCATGACATGTATAACAAAAAGAAGATAGATCATTGCAACAAGCCATGTGGAAACATAAAAGGCTGTTGCATGCGGTCCTCTGAGGCATGTGATTCTCTTCTGAAAATAACATCACTTGGATCTCATTGTTATTCACCGTTCAGCAAAAATTTAAAGGTTAAATGGGTTAAAGGCATTGAATAATTTGCTGTAGGCAAACATGAAAGCACAGTTGCGGTTTCAGTGACTATTGTGGGTTAACCTGCAACCTTCGTGCTGGCAGCCTATAGATTCACATTAGCGTTTCACACAGACTGAAATTCTGCATTTCAATCAAATATGGCAACGTTCTGTAGACGCTTCAACTGTGACATGAATGACAGGCTGTAGTTGCTCAGCAACACACCATAATTTCTCAGGTTTTGTGCATGAGCTTCTAGTAAGAGAAGCAAGCAACCCATTGTGACAGACCCGTGGAAGAGATTCTTATACAGTGAGTTGTCAAGCAGAAACTGGGCCACTGGCCTCTACATGCTTCATAGACAGGCGAGTTAAAATACCCCCAGTCACTGTAAAGCACAGGATGACACATTAGGGCTTGTTCAGCCAACCAAATATGCCCTGCCATGAGAATATTTACACAACTGAGTTAAACAGCCCCACTGTCA